CAGCGCATGGCATGCGGAACAGCAGGGACGCCAGCCACTGACAGCGCAAGAGTCCCTGTCCCAGAACATCTCGTGGGCTCCGACTTGCGGTCAAACTCCAAACGACATGAAGTCAAGGGATTTATAGGCCCAAAAGCAGTCAACGTAAACTCGTATGCTGTTCAAACGCACTGGCAGCCATCGCCAACACAGGCACTGTCTGACTTCGCCGCAGCAGCACCATTACGCCAAGAACTCGTATAGTTCACGGCAAGCACACTGCTCTTTGCTTACCGGCAATCAACCCAATGTGGTGATGGAAAAACGACCTGGAAAGTGAGAAAACAAAGTCCAGCAGGGCATGTTTTCCGAACGCGGCGACTTCTCTACGAAGTCAGGCCATCTGGTGGCATTTCGACACAGAAAGTCATGCCGCCGCTGAACCCAAAACCATCCAAAACTAAAGAAAGAGCCAGCACACTTTTTGCAGCTGTCTCTTGCGGCGCGCACAATACTTACACTCTCCAGTGCACTTAACATCCGTCCAACCCGAGGCGGCAAGGATGCTGCCGGGGGGACTGCTGCGCGAGGCGCTGCCGGAACCCATGCAAGGCCTTGCGCTATCACGACTACTGAGACTACTTGTAGCTGTAGCTTTTCTTTTGCAGTCCCTCAAAAACAACTGTACCAGCACAGACTTGCAATTTCCACATGTTTTGCAGTTCCAATTTTCACATTATGGTGGGCAGATTTGTTTTCGCATGGTAAAAGCACAGCGCAAAACCATTCGGCATGTACATCTATTTGCATTATCATGTGCTGCGTAATGGGCACGTGAGGGCCAGCATCATGAGCATCAGCCGCACCTCCTTCAGCCACCACACGTGACCGGGCCAGCATCATGAGCATCAGCCGCACCTCCTGTAGCCACTACCCCTGACCACCCGGTCTGTGGGCCAGCATCATGAGCATCAGCGGCACCTCCTGTGGCCACTATAGTTGACCACCCTATACATATCGCACAAAGCAGATACCAGCTCATCCAGCTCAGACTTGCAATTTCCACATGTTTTGCATAGTTCCAATTTTCACATTTTGGTGGGCAGATTTGTTTTAGCATGGTAAAAGTACAGCGCAAAACCATTCGGCATGTACATCTATTTGCATTATCAAGCGCTGCGTAATGGGCACGTGAGGGCCAGCATCATGAGCATCAGCCGCACCTCCTTCAGCCACCACACGTGACCGGCCAGCATCACGAGCATCAGCCGCACCTCCTGTAGCCACTACCCCTGACCACCCGGTCTGTGGGCCAGCATCATGAGCATCAGCGGCACTTCCTGTGGCCACTATAGTTGACCACCCTAAACATATCGCACAAAGCAGATACCAGCTCAGACTTGCAATTTCCACATTTGCACAGTTCCAATTTTCACATTTTGGTGGGCAGATTTGCTTTAGCATGGTAAAAGCACAGCGCAAAACCATTCGGCATGTACATCTATTTGCATTGTCATGCGCTGCGAATGGACACCTGAGGGCCAGCATCATGAGCATCAGCCGCACCTCCACCAGCAACCACACGTGACCGGGCCAGCATCATGAGCATCAGCCGCGCCTCCTGTCGCCACTACACATGACCACGCGGCCTGTGGGCCAGCATCATGAGCATCAGCGGCACCTCCTGTTGCCAGTATAGTTGACCACCCTATACATATCGCACAAAGCAGATACCAGCTCAGACATGCAATTTCCACATGTTTTGCACAGTTCCAATTTTCACATGTTGGTGGGCAGATTTGTTTTAGCATGGTAGAAGCACAGTGCAAAACCATTCGGCATGTATATCTATTTGCGTTATCCTGCGCCGCATAATGGCCACCTGAAGGCCAGCATCATGAGCATCAGCCGCACCTCCTTCAGCCGCCACACGTGACCGGGCACAGTTCCAACTTCCACATTTTGGTGGGCAGATTTGTTTTAGCATGGTAAAAGCACAGCGCAGAACCATTTGGCATGTGCTCCTTCAGCCAGCACACGTGACCGGGCCAGCATCATGAGCATCAGCCGCACCTCCTGTAACCACTACACATGACCACCCGGTCTGTGGGCCAGCATCATGAGCATCAACGGCACATCCTGTGGCCAGTATAGTTGACCACCCTATACATATCGCACAAAGCAGATACCAGCTCATCCAGCTCAGACTTGCAATTTCCGCATGTTTTGCACAGTTCCAACTTCCACATTTTGGTGGGCATGGTAAAGGCACAGCGCAAAACCATTCGGCATTTACATCTATTTCCTGAGGGCCAGCATCATGAGCATCAGCCGCACCTCCTTCAGCCACCACACATGACCGGGCCAGCATCAAGAGCATCAGCCGCGCCTCCTGTAGCCACTACACATGACCACCCGGTCTGTGGGCCAGCATCATGCTACTGCGGATGTGAAGAAGGCACAGTTGTAACACAAGTACCCGACAGTGGCAAGTTCAAGCGTTCGCCGAAGTGCACACCGCTCTCATGGAGATGCAGCAAAAAGGTGCAGATGAACGTCGGGTGGCAAAAATTACCTGTGCTGGCCAGGGCTGGGGCTAGCTGCGAAGCTCACCACATACGGAACATCGAACTGGCCGATCATTAGTCCACAATTTCATCATCAAGATGCGCTGGAAACCGGGATGCTATCGTGGAGCAGATATCGTGACATTGGTCGCTACGAGGCAACTTTCGACATGTAACGGCACCGCATCCTGTGTCGCAAGGTGGGCAGCAGCTGCTGGCTTGCAAATCCTAAACCCTGAACCCTGAACCCTAAAGAAAGCACACAGATACACGTAGAGGCCACGGAACTAGACGACTTCTTGAGTGCACACCTTTGGAATCAGCAGGATCCAGTCGGAACCCATGTCGCGGTCTGCTGGACGTCCACGCGCGCCAACTTGCCTTTTCGGATAGCTCGGGCTACTGCAACGCTACTGCGGATGTGAAGAATGTGCTGCAGGGATAGGCAAGTTCATAAATTCAGGAAAGCACACAGCCATCTTGCGGATCCTGCGCAATGTGCAGGTGATTGCGCCTGAGGCATTCGGCTAGCTCCTTGAGCCTGCAGCTGTGCACTTGTGCTGGCTCGCACCCTCACATTCGGCTCTGCAGTTTCGTCCCTAAGCCGCGGATGCGTGAACTGATGTGATGTTCGAATTCCAAGCTGTCTTGGGTTTAGGGTTTAGGGTTTAGGGGCTTAGGGTTGCATGGCATGTCCGACTGATGCGGCGCAGGAACAATAGTTGGTCGCGAGGCGAGCAATTGTGAGATCCTGTGCTGATGTGCAGACTCACAGCGGGATTGCCACGTGGGTTTCCCGGAGTCCACACCATACTTCTTCCACAACGGACCGGAGCAGTGAGTTTGTGCTGGTGTTCATGTCCTTGCAAACCAGCTTCCAACAGATGGGGGCCCTGCAATGTGCATGAAGTGGACAACAGCTGCAGGCTTGCAGAGTGAAGAAAACACAAGTGGAGGTCACCGAACATGTAGAACCTCTTGACTGCACAGCTTCGGAATCAGCAAGATCCGGTGGAAACAGTTTCAGGGTCCGTCGGCCGCTGCGACTATGAAGACTGATGAAGAATGCACGGCCGTGCCGGAAACGGTTGGCAAGCCTCTAAGCAGAGAGGAGCGAATTCAGAAGTTCAGCGGCCCGCACACAAGTGATGATAATAGAATGGCGCAAAGACCTGCGAGGCAGAGACGGAGGGTATCATTGCTGGGGATAGGAAGTCGCAGGGCCCGGGTGGTGTAGTGCAGGCTTGTCTCATTACCTTTCTGTTTATGACATGAGGTAGTTGGTACAAAGACATATCACATTCCGTGTATCATGTCTGCCTGTGATCCAAAAATTTCCGAAACAGAAATCCTGACACCTTGAACGTCCAAATGTACATGTTCTATAGAAGCCACCAGAAACGCCAGCTGTAACGCCAATCCTGAAAACGTTAAGATGCTGGAGGAGTCCAGCAGACCCCAGGATTTTCTACCTATCTTCAGGGACTATCCCCAGAAACAATCCCCTCGAAAAGGCTGCATACAAGCCCGACAGAAGCCTTGCATAGAGGAAACGCCACCCAAAACCTTGGGGGCAGTCTGAGGGGGCAATTGGAAACCCGGTCGAACAGAAGTATGGCAACTATGGTACGAACAGGGCGTTGATTTGCCAAGGGGGGCTTCCAGGCGTCTGCCAAGAGATTGAAATGAAGCGCTGGGACTTCGCCAGCGCCTGGCCAAGGAGGTCGTTCAAGTGTTCAGCTCGAGGTTTGAGAGGCAGCTCAGGGCTTGAAGTTGCACGTGGCCATGGCCCCCCAAAAGCCATGGAAAAAGGCCGAAACAGGCAGAAGGTGTTATCACCACCTACAAGGCGAAGAACACCTTCCAACTGTGTTTCGGCGATCCAAAGCCGTTGTTCGATGGTTTGCGAGGCCTGGTAGCTGGTGTCAGAAGATCCATCATGGTGAGGACGGAGGTCAAGCCTCGCGGAGGCTTGGAACACGCAGGTGCTCCCCGAGGGCACGAGTCAAGAATTTGACCATGTGCTCCATCACAAATACATGCCTCCATCACCAGGAATTGAAGAATCTACTGTGACCCATCATGCCCGCATCGTAGCTTCCCCAAAGCAGGTCGATGGACATCGCTTCCCAAGACTTTTTGGGCTGCCCCTGGTCATTCGCATACCCTTCTTGCGGCTGCCGCAATCCATAGGTGAAACACAGTGAAACCCATGTAGCTTCTGAATTGCAAGGGTAGCCAGGGATCAAGAGTGAAACATGGGGGGGCTGCCTTGGGCATGCACCCGCAACTCATCCCTGCAAAGACATCCTCCTAGTCATACCCTTTGGTGTGCCAGCAGGTATTCCGGGTAGGCGCGGTTGGCATCGAAGAACAAGTTCTGATTAGAATGGATCTTCGGGCATTTCTCACCCCTCCATCTGCGGTTGCGGCCTTCACGAAGGGCTGGGGCCCTCAGCCTTCCACTCTCCTCCGGAGGGCGGCCACGGCCGCGTAGGGCGAGCCTTGCGCCTTCCTGTCCAGAGAGGCTTTCACCGCGCCAAGGTTACCTCCCCAGTCCTCCTTCCTCCAAGCACCTCCGTAGTCCTTTAGCCCCCAAGCCACGCACTCGCCGTTCTGGCGTTCCGCGAGGAAGGCATAGTAAGCGCTCCACACGCGTTTCACGCCTGCTTTCTCCAACGAAGGCCTCACCACGTCGATGCCAGCTCCTCCTGACTTGTCCCCCCAAGCCACGAATTCGCCGCTCTGGAGTTCCGCCAGGAAGGCACCGTGAGTGCTCCATACGTGTTTCACTCCTGCCTCCTCTAAGGATTCCTTCACCGTCCACACCTTACTGTACTTGCTCCTCTCAGGTACGAATTCACCGCTCTGGAGTTCGGCGCGGAAGGGATGTTTGATCCAATTCCACACGTGTTTCACAATTTTTTCTTTTCGGGAAACCTTGACCCTGTCGATGCCAGCTCCTCTTGACTTGTGCCCCTTGTCCCCCCAAGCGACGAATTCACCGCTCTGGAGTTCGGCGAGGAAGGTACCATTGGTGTTCCACACGTGTTTCACTCCACTCTCCAGTTTAGGCTTCACCGCGCTGATGTCAGCTCCATAGCCGTTGTGCCCCCAAGCGACAAATTCTCCGCTCTGGAGTTCGGCGAGGAAGGCACCAGCAGTGCTCCACACGTATTTGACTCCAGCGTTCTCCAAGGATGCCTTCTTCTTCGCGTCAAGGTCAGCTCCGTGGTCCTTTAGCCCCCACACCACGAATTTACCATTCTGGAGTTCAGCCAGGAAGGCGTACAAAGTGCTCCACACGTTTTTCACTCCAACTTTCTCCAAGGAAACCTTCACCCCGCCAATGTCACCTCCTCGGGTGCTGTGCCCCCAAGCCACGCATTCGCCGTTCTGGAGTTCAGCGAGGAAAGCATAACCGGTGCTCCACACGCGTCTCACTCCTGCTTTCTCCAAGGATGGCTTCACCGCGGCAATGTCACCTCCATAGTCTTTGTCTCCCCAAGCCTCCCCCCAAGCGACGAATTTGCCGTTCTGGAGTTCCGCCAGGAAAGCCCTGCCAGTGCTCCACACGTGTTTCACTCCAACTTTCTCCAAGGACGCCTTCACCCCAGCAGCAGCAATGTTACCTCCAGAGCCCTCGTTCCCCCAAGCCACGAATTCACCGTTCTGGAGTTCCGCCAAGAAAGCCCATTGAGTGCTCCACACGCGTTTGACACCGCACGGCGCCATGGCATCCTGACTTACATGTTTGTCGGGCCCCTTACACGTTCAAGTTTGCTTTGCAAGCCGAGAACAGTTGAACCACAGCGCGGGACGACATTGATCCTCCCGAGCCTCTTTCCTCTCTGCCCCAAAAGCTCCACTGCATAGCTCAGACTAAGGAGCACGCGACCGCTGCTGCTCCCGGGCGAAGAAGGACACTGAGCCCATCCAAGCCTAAGGCAAGTCGCGGAGTAGCAGTTATTCTTACGGTGCCTCTGTAACTAGGCCGTTCGTGTCATAAATACGGGCCTTGAGAGAAAGTCTAATATGGAAAACCGACGTGTGGAGCTTATAAGGTTGACTCTAATGATCAAACACTTGTTTGCAATCCTCTTCAGGCCAAGTTGGATGCTGAGGTTTAAAGGCAGTAGTTCACGAACCCGCCCAAGAACCTAACTGGCTTCCGTTCAAACCCCGGCCCCAAAAACCCTTATCTAAACCACTCAACCCTAAACCCTAAACCCTAAACCCTAAGCCCTGAACCCTGAACCCTAGAAGGAGACGGTTTCACAGAAGTCCAACCGAGCCCCTTTTTGCTCGAACCCGACATTTCCCCTCCGAAAGCCAAATCGTGGATTATAACTTACACCCCAAACCCCTGAATCCTAAACCTTTAGAAGCCCTTATCAACAAAGCAGGGTGTCTGATGTCGAGGTGCATGTGGGCAATCAAACCCGTTTTGACCCGTCCGCTGGGTCCAATAGGCCAAACAATCGCACAAAGAGCCAGAATAAATTTTACAAGATCAAACCAGGACCAGTTGCTGAGATGTAGGGTGCCAATGTTGAAGCTTAGGCCTCAGGCGGCACACAAACTTCCGCGCTCCTAGATGCAACCTGACACTGAGCTGAGCGAAACTCACGGGGGACCTCGAAGATCTTTGCAATGTCATGCCGGCCTCTAGCTTTTCCAACGGAGTCTGACCTGAAGGCTATCACGGCTATCACCAACCCCATCACCCTCAGAGTCCTCTGCTAAACTTTCAAAAGATGAGAGGGAATTTGGAATAGTGTTCATATGTGTTCATGCACAGAACCAATTACCGCCCTTTTCGCATCCTGGAGGCCTTTCGTGATGCCGGAGCCGCTGGCGCGGACATCTGGGGTTTAGTGCAGGGGTGCATCTTTTTGAAGTCCTGCGTGACACGGTTCGTGCAAGCAGAACGGAGGTTAGTCTTCCCAGTGACCGACAGCGAAGCCGCAGCACTGGACATGGTACTCACGTTCCTTGAAGAGGCACGACTTTCCCCGCAGGAACCCAGCAAGGGATCATAAATCCTAAGCCCCTATCATCTTGCAGCAGCCCAGCCTCCCTGTTCCTAACCCGGATGACGAGAGCTCGACTGGCACTAAACAGCAACAGGTCACACTGCTCCGCTGGGCATATGAAGGTACTGCACATGCGGGTGGCTCACCCAAAGGCGTCCTGAAGCATGTTCGTTGCTTTTGCTGACCTCCCCAAACTCTCCAAGGCAATGCAGTTCACAGGCCGAGGCCGGGGAAGAAATGTATAGGTATGAGGCTAGAGCTAGGTAACTGGAACACCTGCAACACTACATAACAAGTACTGGAAACAGATTACGGCAATTCATTCTTGTCGGGGAGTTGCAGAAGGACTCTGATAGGGATCCCAGAAAGTAAGCTCAGACCTCAAGCAGGTCAAAGAGGTCAAAGAATCTTGAGCAAACTACAGCTCGTGGATGTGACGACATGACATGTGACATGTATTCTGGCTGCTTGGTACACCAAGTCACAGCACCGCTAGCTGCTGAGATCTGCTGAGCGTCAGGCCACTGAGCTGCATGGCACAGCTGGGAGCCTTCCATTTGAGACTCACGGGCAATTTCAGGGTTTAGGGCTTAGGGTTTTATTCGGCACATAAAAACTCCCCATAAGAAGTGTTGCAGGCACATGAAGTTTAGCCGCGCGCTCGGGCGTGTTTTTGTCAGCATGGGCACAACCTGGAAGGTTACGCGAAGGTTACAGCCAAGCGGATGAATGTTGTTAGACCCTTTACATGTCGGGTATTCGGATTTCAAAGCCCGAGGCCGGGGAGGAGACATGCCTCACATAGGCGGACAAGCCACGGTTTAGGGTTTAGGGTTTAGGGTTTAGGGTGCTTTCCGGAAAGTAAATGCAGGCCTCAGTTCGAATCTTGAGCTTCAGCTCCAGGACATGACGACATGACATGTGACGGGGTAAGGTCCCGTAGCTCTTCAAAGGGACCCCTCATCGGAAACCCTGCATTCTGAACTCTGAACCCCAAACCCTACCCTAAACCCTAAACCCCAAACCCTAGACATTCCGAAAAGCAGGCGGTGCCTCGTCTCCAGGCCCTCACGGCTCCGATGTCGCTGTATCTTCCCCTTCGCAGCTGGGAGCTTTGCACTTGTGCCCGTGAGCGCTTTTGGGCTTTAGGGGCTTCAGGGGGTAGTTTCAGGCTGGCAACATGAGTGCGAGGAGCACGTCAGGAAATATGCACTGGTTTAGGCTCGCCTGAGGTGCTTACATAGGCCCGGTTGTCAGCCTGTTCGATGCAAGCGGGTAAGCTATTTTGAAGGTACCGGGATTATGCAAGTATCATTCCCGGGATCCACTCCCCACTCCGTCTCTGCCAATAAGAAGACTGCCAGCCGTTGCACAATCTTGAGTCTTCACAGTTGAGCACAGCAAGAAATGTATGTTAATGTGGTGCGAGGTGAATGAGTGGCCCCACCAACCCGGACAGCTGTCGTGAGCCCACGTTCTGCCACCCGACGAACTCTTCAGACATCAGCAAAGCTAGTGTCGTGATTCGTTTCCTCCGCGTAATTTCGTCAGAGCGAAGAAGGTGAAGTAGCAGGCCTTGCAAAGCAACAGTCGCAGATCAGAAAAGCCCTCTCGAACCTTAAATGCATTGCGAGAAGCCAACAGCAAAAACCTTCGTCGCAAACCTTATCAATTGCTTCCATTTCGGCGCATGCATTTAGCACTCCTGGCACGAAACTTGTGTTTTCTGTGCGGCACATGTCCATGTGTCCATGAGCACTTATGGCCCTGAGATGCAGAACGGACGGCTGCTTTGTTGGCCTCGGGTCTTGGCCTGTCCTGGAAGGTGTAACACTATGTGATTCGGCTTACCTGGAAGCACCGGTAGGAAAGCAACCCGCTTTTGAAAGCAAAACAACTAAAACAAAACGAATTTTGTTGTCGAAAAGCAGTCCGCCGCTCAAGAGGATAATTGTTTTCCTAAGGCAAACCAGGGTCTGTACAAAAGAAACCGGGATGCCAAAGTCATGTTCGGTGAGTGATATGACCCTCGGACTAAGTCTAGCCGGTGAAAAAAGCTACATTTAAAATAATCAGTTGTTGGCATTCCAAAGGAATGTGCCGGTTACAGGGACTGCATGCGAGCTTTTGCACGAAAGCTACTGCTGTCTTGGGCTATGACTTCACGAAATTCTTTTCTCACGGCATCTCCAACCCACCGAATCATCACCTTCTGCACGTGATTGTCGACATGTGTGAAGCCAACCGTGTTCTGAATTTCTTGCTTCACCTTGACTTCGTCCTTTGGGTCCCAGGCTTCGGCACTTGCCGAGTCCACACACTTTAGCGACTCGGTCACTTCCCTGGTGCCGCGTTGGCCAAGGAGAATCTGCGATCGCACCGAGGCTGTAGACGCTTCAGGCATGGTAAAGACGACTGGGATCTCTAGTGTGGATGCGATAAACTGCTCGTAGATCGTCCAAACTCGCCTTAAATGCTGTCTCCAGTTGTCTAAAATGGCAACCATCTGCCCGATTCGGGTCAGGTTCTCAGCGAGAACGTTCTCCAAGTTAGCGCTGCCAGCAACAGATCCTTCAAGTATGATCCTATGCTGATTATTGACGAAGAAGCACATGAAGAAAACACGACGTCAGATGCCGCCAGGTGCATGTTTTTGTACACTTTCAAGGCACTCTTCACTTCGGATAAGGTGTACCGCCATGTCCATGACATGAAATGTGTCTGTTGGCGTCGATCTGGCTTCGGTATCCAGTCGACCATTGCGCAGCCATGCTTGCCATCGCAGGGGCACACGATGTCGCGGCCTATCGGATCCTCGCCCAGCCAAAACACTTTCATGTCGTTAAAGCTGGGATCGGCAAGACCTGTCCGCATAGTCGCCAGCGTTTGGAAATCGTCTGAGAGCACATACCTCATGCTCACCCCTGCGGTCTCGCTTTGCCGTGCGCGCATGCCAGTGACCCGCTGGGCCAGATTGATGCCGTCCACGCCAAGATCTGCCAAGATGCCTGAATACTTGCTGACGGTTTCGGGGACTTCTTCCCACAAGTCATCATATAGCATAGCCATTGCGTGTTCAACTGCTGCAGCTCTTCGTGCTAGCCGTCGATTTTGGAAACGAACAAGCGACATCCACAACAAGCCTGCAGAAACTAAGAAACACACGACACCAAAAGTGACCAGTGGCAAGCGCCACCAAATGCAACTATTCTCATAGAGTATCCGTGGGAACCCGCAGGAGTCGCACACATCTACATGGCCAGGAGAGAATTTGCCTGCTTGGCATGGCTCGCAGAAGCCTCGATCTTCCGAAGGCACGGAGCCTTCTCCGCAGGGCGTACACTGAAGCGAAGCTGGTCGAGCGAATTCACCGAGTGGACACGCTTCGCAAGCACTCCCATTGTTGGCGGGAGCCCTCCCAGCATCGCATGGCTCGCAGCGAAGGTTTGGCGCAGCTGTCAGGTCCTTGACGCTTGGAGCTGGGCAGGTGCAGCACGATGCTGCATCAACCGAACTGCCCGTTGGAGGCAGGACCAAAAGGCCTGCGTCTGGACAGGAAAACCTCCAGCAGCTAGATTTCAAGAAGGCAGTGCCATCAAGGCCGTTGGCAGCATTGGCCTCGGGCCACCACGGCGCAGATGAAGTCGGAGGAGGCTCCCGCAGAAGACAGCGCCTGTCCTGCAAGAGAAAGCCCGCACAGCTGGAAGACGCATTGCAGCTGCTGGCGCAATTCCAGAACCCAGGTGCAGAGGTTTCACGCAGAAAGCCCCCGTCACGGATGCCCTTGCCCAGGTGAACGAAGCCCAAAATCACCGGCTCACAGGCCTCTGCCATGCATTCCAGCCTTACCTTGCCAATTGGACCACCGGTGCTTTGTGTCAAGTGAACACCGTGGACAGGCCACAGCATCCTCTTGAAATGCGCCCAGCGAACCAGCCCATGATCTCGCCATGGAGGACTTGACACAAGGCTCGAAAGCACCAACGGCCAGTATGCTGTCAATGCCCTTCGCCAAGCTCACATCCCAGGAGCCGATGGGCTGGTTGAAGGCCCCTGCATAGTAGAACATGTAGCCCATGTCGGTCACTGCAGAGGTATCCCAAGAGCCGATGGGCTGGTTGAAGGCCTCCGCATTGTAGAACATGTAGCGGTCACTGCAGAGGTATCCCAGGAGCCGATGGGCTGGTTGAAAACCCTTGCACCATAAAACATGTAGCCCATGTCGGTCACTGCGGAGGTATCCCAGGAGCCGATGGGCTGGTTGAAGGCCCCTGCATCGTTAATTTCCGAGGGACCTCTAGGGAGCCTC